GACTATATTGTATTTAAGCAAGAATAAAAGATCACATTACACATTTGTAAGAAAATAAAAAGTCTGAAAACCCCTTTTTTAACCAGATGCAACTTTTGATCTTGCCAAAGTGGTTAAAGTTAATCGACGGAAGTCTCGCGTCCATTTGGCTGCTGCCCCGGTATAGCAAATAGTATTGCTGACGCTTGTATCTTTCCAGAATTTTTTTGTACTCTCGAAAAATTGACGACTCAGGATTGTCGGAAGTAAGAGTTTTATTTATCCATTCTAGAATCATTTGAGTGCACCGTTACGAGCTACAAGTATTTTAGTCTTATTGTAAAATTGTTTTCTACAATTTACTTGTTTGCAGTTTATTACAAATTAATGCTACGGAAAGAATACCTGTTCTTGTTTGTCTCTTTTTCGTTCAATTGGTAATTTATTAAAATTCAAAGCCTGGAAAATTATTTATAGTATTATATATCGCTTCGGTCGGGATGCGAAATAATTTAATCAACGTAATTATTATACGACTATCGATTGCATAACGGTCGATATTGTAATTCGTTTTCCAATTTGCACACTGCACTTGATAAAATAAATATTTACGTTAAAATGCGCCTTTCATTACGAATTCTTTGACGAAACGTTACGATCCTCGTACCGGAAATTTTTACACAAATTTCATCAAACAAAATAATTTTATGAATAAATGAATTTGACCCCAATATAGAGTATCATAGAGATATGCTTCGATCTCCTGTAATTGGCAAATGAATATTTTTTTCAAAAGTGCCCCTTTGTATTATATCATCTTGACAATGTCATTTTTTACTTTAGTGACATTTGATCCCCTTCTGATATATTGCTATTTCGGTCTCAACCAGTAGTCAGATACGTTATTATTGCAGTAACGATGTTAACAATTAATAGAATGGACCGATTTTGAATTTACGCAATTCCAGTTCACATGAGAAGCCTATCAAAATACAAATTTCATGCTCGATTCTCTCGTATTTCATTTGTTTTCCCTTTGGCCATTTTCAATCTGAATTATTCAAGAGTTCGCAAAGGTCATGCACCTGTCTACCAGTAACCGTGTTTTCCAAATTGCCTCTTTCACCCCCTTCCTCGCTGTATAGCTGCAGATTTGGTTGCTTAAAAAGAAATTGGAAAACGTGAAAGGAATTATAAATTTTTTAAGCTATATTATAGGTTAAATTGATTATATATATGTATATACATATATTATATATATACATATAAAGAATAGAATAAAATTCAATCACCCTATACATCATATACAAATTATAAAATGAACAATCAAAAGAGACAATTACAAATTTTCATTACACACTGTTTTTTTTAATAAATATAACATTTTATCGATAGCGGCTACGGTGGCATCTAGATTAAACCAATTTCACAGGAATTTTTTACCAAAATACTCGTTGTTATCTACAAACTTTGTCAAACATATAGGTAGCTTTCATTTCGTTCTTCAAATCCTTTTCTCATTACTGTCAGGGTTGTTGGAATTTCATAATTTCAGGCTTTCGCTATCCTTTGACAACCCATTCGTTTAACATGCTTATGCCACGATAATAACCGTCCTCGTATTATACAATTTTTTAATATAATAATATACGATAGAGCATATTATCTTGTTTTATTTTATCAAGAAATTCTCCAATATCTTGAAGCTTTAATACTATTAAATCCTTAAAATGTCACTGGGTACACTGCAACGCTATTATTAAACTACAATTCATTATTAACTGCTATGCAAATAAAGTTACTATTACGATACGAAACTTCATGCTAGAGCGAAATAAATTAACAGCATCCTCTGACCATTAATAAACCAGTTAGATCAAACATTCACCCGATAGCTGAGCCCTGGAGTAAACTCCAACATCAGAAGGATTTGCCTAAGTGTATCATACCATCAGTACTAGACAGAATACCATCAAAATCAAATAAGCTGCCAAAAGGTAAAGGATAGCATCACTGGATGAAGATGAATTTGAAGTTTCACTTCATCCTGCTAAAGCTCCAGCAGTCGACCTGGTTGATCCGAATTGAGAATCTTCCAGCTAGGTCAGCCGTAGCAGGTCGGCTTTATACCACTTAGAAAGCACGTGACCACGTCGCATACATGTTGCGATATATATATATATATATGCATATATAGCATATCCATGTACAGCAAAGAGTACATAGACTCACCCTCTTATTGAGCTTGCGAGAGATGAACAAACTACTCCTGAACTACTCTATGCACGCAGATTTCACATGCTGTATGAAACCTCACAAACGAAGCATGGATATGTCGTGTCTTTGGATCCTATTTCGTTTTTCCTACCATCGACTTCGCTTCCAGTTCAAGAATAATGATAGCACGTACAGGGTAAGTAAAGTAAGACATACGTCTTACGTATGATAAGGAATTCCTACGTCGACCAGGAAAAATTTTTCTCCTGGGAATTGAAAGTTTTTCTAACTTTTTTTTCATTATTTTCCTAACTTCATAAACACCGATAACAATTAAAGGTCTGAAATTTCTTTCAGCTACGGCCGCTCTAAAAAAATGTTCACTCATATCCAGATTATTTAAATATATGCATGTACTCTCACGTAAGACCTGGAGAGGTGCGAAGAATATGAAGACACCATTTTCTGTTATTCTCCATTTCCTTCTCACGGAGTAATAAAAAGAAAAAGCATTTCGACATATTGATTCGATTCGATGGCGCAAGAATACGAATGGCTATAGACGCTTTCCTTTTTATCCGGTGACGTCTGGGCAGCCTGCGTAATGCAACAGCGCAATATATCAGTATTGTCTTGGATTCTAAAGAAGAATTTCTGTCGTCATCTAGCCTCTAAGTATTTCCTTGCTTCCTTCTTATCTCCCTTCTTCGTAATTCTCTACTTCATCCTTTACCACTATCGTTCTTACTATATTTCTCCTTTCCATATCCTCCCTTGTCTTCCATTCTCGCCACTTCATCCATATACCCACTTGTGCACTCTTTTGCGCACATCCAAGTGCTCCTCAGAGAGGAAGGATAGTTGGTACGGATTTCTTGCAACCTCAGAGACTTTTTGCTGACACAGAAGAGCCCGTCACTGTTTTCTCCCTTGATTACGGTGTTTGCTGCCTACGGGCTCGAATCTACTCCACGAAAAGGTCCATGGAGAATACCTTAGGGTCGAGCAAGAACAGCGACATCTATGCCAAAGTGACAGGAGGCGCAAGGGACACTCATTTGTAAACAAAGAGAGTGAAATTGACTTTCTTAGAGATGAAGTTTACTTTACCTCTGTTTCACGTAGGTCCCAGATGAAATAATCGAATGAACTGTGGATCATTGTTTGGATGGTATTTCCTAAGAACTTTTAACTTTTTAGTTTTACAACGGATTGAATACTTGTTATTTCGAGATTGTTTTTTAGATTCAGTGAATTATAAAACAATTTCCATTAGTTATCCTGGATTATCCAAGAATTGTGTTCAACGAAACAAGTTATTTAACTAAGGCCAGAACTTTCTGTAGTTTATCAGTCGCTTTCTGACTTGGCTCTTAGTTGCGAACTTTGAGCGGATTTAATCGACCATTCGTTACTATAAAACTGCTAGTGGAAATTGGATAAATAGAAATTGATGTACCGTCTTTGTCCTTTGGTTTGTTCACGCATATGTAAACGCATAGTCGCGTATGATTTATGATGCACACAAATCGACCGTATCAACACTTTTAGCAAGATTGTTGACACTAGTTGACGTCACTACGAAGTACACATATCTACACACTGTGTCATTTCAACTAGATAAGAAATTTTGTTCGAGTTAGATATCGGCTTTCCAGACTTTAGAAATTCAAATATTTTCTAACTTTCGTGATATCCTTATCAATTATCAACGATAAAATATCGTATTGCGTAATTGTGTTTGGAAAAGAAATATTAACAAGTCAGGCTCGCGTGTCCTGAGACTAATCGTTTTAACTAATGGTTAAAAATGTTGCGTGCTACCTAAGCCACCTATAGTTTCATTCACAGTTTCTTTATTCTAAAAAAAAGTCCTTTCAATTATCAATAATATTTTCGACTAATCGATTATGTTTTTTTAGAAATGCGGTAATTTTGAAAATATTTGAAATATTTAATACAGATTCTCGTCATTCTACTTCATCCGATAAGGAAGACTACTATGTGGTTGTAAATATAATCCCAAGCTTAACTTCCTAGCGCCAACATTTTCAGAATACTGAAAATGTTACGTAACAGCCTTGCCGAGCTATGAAACTTCATAATTTTACAAAGAGTTGATATTTTCATGCATCGTTGTACAGGGGTGCACGTACCGTATAATCAATTTAATAATACTAGCTAGTTCAAACTTTATGAATACACGTTAAAGGTGTATTATCTTCAGTAGGAATTTTACACTATAGCTTCTAATATCCATTAGAGCATATGGCAAGTTCATGATTAACATAATTTAATGGTAAAGATTTTCCACTGGATATTCTTCTTGTATCAATGAACAATATACAAATATTTCTTCCGTACACAATGAAAATAATTGGCCAGTGATAAGATAATAAATGAATGCGCGCGCACGTCACTAAATAACGTGTCATCAATCGTACAAACTATAAAATGGAATATGCTCCAAGATCTAAAATTGCAATATCGGTCTCGTATACATAAAATCACAGAACCGGTGCGCATCGGCGTCAATTATTCGAATAAAATTTTTACGAGCCATGCCCGACAGATTTACAAAGAAAAGAAGCTAATCCAATCCCGCGAAAACTACCCCAAACATTACATTATACCTTCTTGGTTTCTTAAGAATCGTTACTTTATTAACAATAAGATATAAAATCATACCATTAACTAGTGGATTCTTTGGGTTCTCAAATGTCATGAAAAATATTATCGAGAATAATGAGATTCTTGTAACAGAATGAGGGGCAGGTAATGTATTAAAAAATTAATTCTCCAACTCCATTGAAGCTATGAAATTTATTGCATAGTGTCACAGCACTACAATATTAATTTACAATTTTTTTAAAAGAAGTCATTTATCCATGGGACGCAGCGATAGTCGTCGGGTATCATTTAAAAGGATAAGTTCAGTTTATGCACGGCAGGTAAGAGACACAGTCATTTCCATATTCTTAGAGACTGACTTTTGACTGAAGTCAGGGTTGGCTCCCTTGCGGATGCGTTCAGCCATATTTTGAGCAGCACCACTATTTGGGACGCAGTGGAAAGAGACGTTCTTTCTCTTTTCCTGATGAGCTTGGCAACCGGAAGCGCAAGTGGGAACTGGTCTCAGGGAGAAGCAGATCTGATGATCCTCTTCGATCACCAAGGTACGATGAGTCTGGCAGGACTTGCCTGAATGGCGTTGATTTTGGCGATCTGAGTTAGAGGATGAAGAACCATGACTGTTCTTTCCATGTTCCTTCTTGTTCTGACCCTTGTTGCTACGATTCCAGTAATGGCTATTGCCCCAATTGTTGTTCTCCTTCCTGGGGCGGCCTGCTTCCTGGTCGCTCACTACGTTTCCATACAGGATTACCTGCGTAGAGCAATGAGCTTGACGAGCACGCTCAGCATTCTCACGAGCTGGTCCTTCGCATTGCTCTCCATTGACCAGAGCGTAGGTTGCTGTAAATTCTTCAGGCTTCTTCAGAACGCAGTTCTGTGGTGTAGTGAAGTCCGTTGCTGGTTCGCCATCAAAGGTACCGCAAAGACCACGGATGGAATCGCGGTATTTGTTGGATGCCTGTTGGATATGGAATAAAAAATTATTAATATTAGAAAAATATTTCTTATTATTATTCTATCTTAATGGCAGGATCATTTCAAGTACCTGGATCAAGATGCGAGCACCATCGTACGTTGCGTCGATATCATATTTTTCTGAAGTAAACTTGACGGAACCGTCGGGAAGTTCATAAATTTGGAAGACGTTTTCATTATCATCGTCATTCTGATGATTGTGCTGATAGCTGTTATGTTGGGAGAACTTGATGCTGTTTCCATTAACCTCTACTTGTCCACGACTGGAACCGGAAGAACCAGAAGAGCGAGAAGATTTGGAAGAACCAGATGGTGACAGATGAACTTCATCTTCTCCGAGAACAATCTTGATTTCCTTCTGGTTGCTGCCAATTTCGCGACTGAGGATGCTTACTTGCATATCATCAGGAATATCGAGTTCACCATTGTGATTATCAGGATCTTCCTTGGGGTAAGAGGTCATGACAACGTGCCAGCAATTTCCAAGCTCCACTGGGTATGTGGTATTGTCAAATGTATTGACGTAATTGTCGTCAAGAGCGCAAGTAGCTGAAATAAATACGTAATAAATACGTAATTATAAAACTTCATTATTATAATATCCATCTTCAGAAATAACAAAATTATACTTACGAGCATATTGTCCCACGAAAGCCTTATGTCCTAATCTTTCAGCAACAGACATCACTGGATGAGCAGCAACAATGGGGACAACCCACTTATTAAGTTCCACATTTGTAAAGTTAGCATCCATGTTAGGTGCGTTGATAGACAAATTAGCACTTGTAAAGTCGGGTTCGATGTTGAAAGCAATGTCGATTTTGTTCGCCTGTTGTTCCTGAGGATTAACCATGTTCTCATAGGCATATGGGAAAGCCATAGCTTGAGCGTGTCTCAAAACTTTCATAGTCAAATTCTTCAATTCGTTCGAGACGCCATTGAATTTAAGACTAAGACGACCCTGATCCATAATGTTGGCACGAATGGTCATATTCTGGCAACCTGGGGAAGCTTGGAAGCCACGTTCCATCTGTTGTTGGCACTTCTTAGCAAGAGGTTCGTTTTCAAGGTATTCCTTGCGGTCCCTGCTTTGCTTCAATTTTCCTTGGACATTTACAGATGCACCAGATTTGCAATCTTCGCCAAAACGAATGTCCACGTCGAATTCGGTATTTGGATTAGCCTTCAATGCAGCATTGTAATTAAGTTCCGGTACATTGGGTGCACTAGCTTCAGCAGCAATGCACAATTCTCTTTTCTCTTGTTCGGCAGGCTTGGCAAAAGCGTAAAAGACAATCCTCTGCAGATCATCAACATTGCTACTAGCACGTGCGGCAGTCACCGCAAACTGAGCATTATTGTGGCCTGGGAATTCAACTCCTAGATTGAGAACGGCAGCATCGGCATCATGGATACCTTCAGCAGCCTTCTGAAGAAGTTCGTTCTGTCTACTTTGACTGGAAGGTTTATGACTTGAAGGTTGTGGAGCGTGAGCCTTAGGAGAAGATTTGCTGGATGAACCCTCTTTAGAATCTTCCGATAGAGTGTCCCAGGAAGCTGTTATAACAGCAGAGTTGGCAGTGCTTCCACTGGGGTCCAGGTAGAGATTATAGTTATTGTAATGAATGTTCTGTTGAGACCATGGGAAAGCAACGGCAGAAATGGCGTCGTGTTGTGCGAACTTATTGGCTGACCAGGAGTACAATTGCTGGAGAGGATTTTCATCAGCTTCAGCTTCAAGGCGGAATGATACACCGGTTGTCTTTGCACCAGCAACGACTTCTTGCGATTGCGGCTTGCGTCTTTGGACTAGATGTGCATTGTTGCCAGAAGTGACTGGAATCAGCTCAAGAATATTGTGCTTGGCAGTGTAAGGCAATGTACTGTAATGCAAAAGCCTGTAGTTCTTGTTTTGCTCGATTGGCTGAAGTTTCACGCGAACGTTCTGGTTCTCAGCGTCGTAATCGACACGTGCACGAATTGGCAAGTTCACTTGCAAATTCTTCTGGACTCCAGCAACGTAAGTCTGATGTTCGAATGGAGCGACGAATCCAAGTCTGCCCTGAAGTTGAGCCGAGTAGACGATATGGATATCAGTTGTTGCATTGACGGTTGATGGGAGATTGATCTCATCAGATGATCCACTGGCAAGATCGGGTTGGGATCGAACTTGAGCTTCACCGCCGATCTTCAATAGAGACGGCATCTTCAAGCTGTAGACGAATGGAAGACCCATTGCCGTGGGGAAGCCAAGGGTAATTTCAGTGCTATGCAATTTTGTCAGATTGAAACTTTCACCCTGTTTCAGGGCCTGAGCAGCCTTCTTCAAGACTGAAATAAAATGTTTTATTAAGTTATATGTTACTTTTGTTATCTCAAATGTATTTAGACATAATGTGGTACTTACGATGGGGAATTTGTTCAATGGTGTGATTATCAAAGGCGAAGAAGCGACTGGCAGAGTTCGAGTTAATGAAGAAATTTCCTTCTAGTTGTTCTGCATCTTCTGCTTCAATGTTCAGCATTTTAGCGATGCTGCTGGCTGTCCATTGATTTCCTGATTTTCCATGTCCGTGCTTCCTACTTCCTTTACGGGCATTTCCTCTTTCATAGCTCTCATCGTTATCCTGAACGAATTGATCTTTAAATACCGTAGCAAGATCTTCGATACTAGATACCATGGCATTGAACTGGGATGCTGGTGCATTGTATCCTCCATAATTAGCTTTGAAGCTAGCAAAAGCAGCTCTAGGAATGATACCGTCTTCACTTCCGATATAACTAGCGGCTAGTTTGTAGGCAAGGTTCATTTCCTGAATAGCGTAGTCCCTGAGGTAATTCTGAGAATACTGGAATCCGTAAGTCTCAGAGTTCAGCAAGTCCTTAGCTGCACGTGCGTTATGTGCGAGTTCCCTTTGGTCGTAATTCTCTAGTTCGGCAGCACTTTCAATGGCGGCCTTCACGGCGCCATTGACATGCTTGCTGTGATCGAAGTTAGTAAATTCAGCCATTCGCTGAAGAAGAGCAGCTGGGGGGTTCGTCTTCATCAATTGGAATACAGCAGCGCAACGGACCTGGTGTGCATCTCCAGTGTTCTGATAAATCTTGTACAAAACGGAACGTGCCAATTTTGGATAAAGGTTGGCTAGTTTATCCATGGATACGACCATCTGAAGACGTTGGAAAGTAGAAACTTCCTTCTCGCCTTCAAGATAAGGTTCGAAAACTGAAAGGATTTTTGGGTGAGCAATGTTTCCCAGTGCACGAACGAACAACTGGATCTTTGGGCTGTCGCCGTTTTTGATAGCATTCTTCAACTGATCCGCCATGTATGGAATGTATTTGTCGCGTGCTGCTGGATTACTCTTTGGTGAGAAGCGTCCAAATGCATGTACCGGGTAGCGATTATGAGCAGATTGGTTGCTCACTTGAGCGTCGCGGATGAGATCGGTAAAAGCAAGAATGGCTGACGAATTCAGGTACTGTTGTTTCTGAACTTCAGACTTCGTTATCAAGGACTAAAATTAAAAATAAAATTCATTAGGTATTACTTTGAATATTTTTTTATAATAGTTCAACGATACTTACGAATAGGGCATCCATGTATTCTGGCGTAGGTGTACGAGCACTCCTGGCGATCGTAGTAACGACTTCAGCTGCCTCGGCACCCTGAACCTTTCCGGTCTCAATCCAAGCCTTGATTGACATGAGGGCAGGTCCTGTTCCTGCTTCAGCAACAGCATCGCGCAATGCAACCCAGCTATTGCGACGAATACTATCGCTTTCACTATCGGGGTTAACATCGGATGCAGATTTGTATAATCCTTGCTGAGCTTCAGCGATCTGTCTCGTGTTCATGGTACGGACCAGGCTGGTCAGGATGCTGAACTTTTCTAGGGTCTGTTGTTTAGGGATTGAGCTTGGGTTTTGCAAGTCTTTGCCAATCTGAGAAGCGAGGGACTTGACTTGTTTAACGGGGTCCACTTCTTTAGACTGTTGTACAGCGCTTCCTTTGTAACCAATGAAGAATGGCATAAAGGGAGTTTCAGGTGCTTCGTTCAACGTTGGTCTTGGTTGTAAGTATTCTTCTTCGCTGCTAGAGATGGAACTAGAGCTAGAGCTGGAGCTGGAGCTGGAGCTGGAGCTGGAGCTGGAGCTGGAATCCCTCGCATGGGAAGGTGCAGCACGAGGTGCGCGTCTATTATTTCCACGCTTGCGATCTTCCTCGCTGGAACTGCTGGAACTGGAACTTGAGCTGCTATCAGAGTCAGAGCTGGAGGAACTTGAAGAACTGGATGAGCTGTCGTCATTATTGTAGTTAGGACGACGTTTCTCATTTCCCGAAAAAGCATTGTTGAAACTGTAGACCAGATTTCCAGTAGATTCACCATTTGATGGTGATGGTAAAGCATCAGATACAGACTGAACATCTTCCAATGTCAAGTTCACACGACTCACGACCATTCCATTTTGACTGTCATGCAAATGAGGGCTCAGGATGACTTTGTTGGTCGTAACTGAAGATTGAATCGTGAAACGTTTCAAACTACCAGAGACGATGATACGGCTCACAGATGATTTCTATAAATAGAATAATAATAATCTTCATATTAATCACCCTAATCGATTAATATTACAAGAAAATAGATATAAAAAGAAACTTACAGCAAGGAATCTTCCGTTATCGTTAGTGCCGGGTTCCCAGTCTGTCATTCCAGAAATACCAAAATGATATCCCATACGTTGATCGCAGTTGCTGTAGTTCTTGGTCTTGACAATATCAATGATATCACCGTCACCACGAAGATTGGGAATCGGTACCAGCTCAGGTTTACTTTGCAAGATGAATTCTGGCAGACGAGAAATATCGTAGAGTACTTCACATTCACCACTAACGGAATCCTCCATAGTTTTGAATACGGCATTAGGCTGATCCTCTTCAGGTTCCTGATTGTATCTGGACTTGATCAAGTTCTCGCCCTGAGTATCGACTTGAAGTTGGCTTACGATACTCTTAAGCACGTTCACTTCCCAAGTGGGGACGTCTTTGTTGACAATGAGATCGTCGACCACACCATTCTTCATTTTAATTTCGAAAGGCTTGCTGGATATCGGGAACTCCTGGTAATCCAGTGTCTTCTCCGGAATCTGGGAATCCCATCCTCCAGGAAGTTGCGTATGAATCTGCGCATAGCGGGCCTTCGAAATTCTCGCCTTTAGTGTGTTGTCATCTTTAGGCTGAATGGTCAATCGGGCTTTCATCGAAATACCGGCATACTGATCCGCCACTTGATGCAGGGCAGCAAGTGTACGTCCTTGGACGTTATATTGATATTCACTTCCGCTTTTCCAGCCATAGTGCTGGTCGGCTGTCACAGCTCCAGCTGTTTGTACGAATAATACAAGTTAAATGAAATACCGCACATGCACTTCCCATAGCAAGTTAATATTTCGAAAATTACCACAATTTTCTATAATAATCAAAACTCTATACTAATATGAATTTTCACAGTTTTATTGAACACAAGTTCTACTTACCAAGGAGCAAAAGTACCAAAGGAGACCACATCATATCGGTTAGATTCAAATGTGGAGTGAATGCTTTCTAGCTTGCAAAAGCTTTTATATGAAAATGCATCTGCTGTGTCAGCTTGATGGTCTGACCTAAGATCTGACAACGTCCGGCACGAGTTACAGATTTCGCCGTGTTGTCCTTGCAAGCTTGTAAGAATGACTGATCTTTGAGCACGTGTCACACTTTTATTGACCTTTGCAACATTGTATCATATGCATCCGGTGTCTTTAATAACAAAATTGATATTAATTATATGCTTATCGCGCGTGTATTGATAACTGACATCCTCTATACGTTATCTACAGGATATTACGTTCATCTTTGATACACCCCTACACCGTTTCTCTATCTACTCTATCCAGCATTATTTCTCATTGAACATTGGTATCGGAATATCGGTATTATGAACTGTAAAATTTTAACGTGCTGTACGCTTGGTGACATTCATAGGACGCAACATAAATTCCAATATACGATCATAGTGATGGGAATCGTATTGGAAAATTGCATCAGCGATCCCATCAAATATCTTCAGTAAGTGTAATAAAATGCACAAGAAAATAAAATTGCTTTAATTATTGTAACAGCTCGCAATCGGTATAGCGTTTGCCAATAGTCATTTTCAGTTGTTGATCCAGCGCTGGCAAACTATGGGCCTGGTACTGGCCCAATGGTGAATCTGAACGTCCTCCAAAATTAGATTGTGACTGTGAACACAGCCGCTTCTATTATACTAAAAAACAAGACACGGTGCCGCTTCGCGATGACCTCCATCCCGTAATGTATCATATGTCAATTTTCTGAGCCCAAAAACCTTCGCAGTCATCGCTGTGATCTTTAGCCATTATCAGATTCAAGAAATTCCTCATAAGACAATTCATCGATGGAACAGAGACCAAGTAGATGTCGAGGATCAAAAACAAGGTGCAGTAAAAAATGTACTCATTTGATAATCAAAATACAGTATAGAGAATTATTGTAAATTAAGCTCGTATGCGTTCATGTAAGTGCAACATCGACAGCTGGTCATCCTGTATAAACATTTCCTACCTCGACTGCAATTAAATAAATTGTACGTATGAGTTAAAAGTATTGAGTGCAATTAATAGCCAATTTTTTGACAACGCTCAATCTTTGATACTCGGCCGATGTCGAAAGACAGTTATTGCTGAAAAACGCCTAAACCAAGCATTGCCCCACTAGTGGCGGACGACGGTTGTTATAATTCCTACATTCAATAAATGCTCTGCCGATCTTGGGAGCCGACTCTGCGCCAACGTTCTTAACATTGACAGCTGTACTGGCTCAGTACTGGGCCCGTTGTAAATTTTTACATGGGTTGGGGTTGATTATTCTATCGTGGATAATGGCCACAATAAAAAAGAAAAAATGTGACTAAACATCCATCTTGTAAGTTTGTAATGAATCTGAATCAAGTTTAAAAAATGTATTCAATCTGTGCAAAACTTCTTACATGTGTAGGAAGATTCGCGAAATTTTTATCTAAAGCTAACTAGACGATGGAAGTAATACAAGTTACGAAACCAGAGACGAGCAGCAGAATTTGACTCATTTGAAACAGTGCAGCTCAACGCCCTGCACTGAACTGTTGAATACGGATTGATGAAAAATATAGGGCCTTTACTTAATCCAAACCCAAAGCCACATATGGGTTCAGGGAAAATCAATAAGTATGACGAGATAATAATTATATAACCGAGTTTTATTACTTATCAATAACAATAGAATTATTATAATATTCATTGAAATATTACGATACAGAAGAAACTAGCATACCTATTTACAGATTTTATTATTTACAAAAATATATTATATATCAACGAGCTACCGAAATTCAAGTACAAAAAGTATACCTTATCGTTATCTTATAATTGTCATACTACAGAATAATAGTAATAATGAATAACTAATGTGGATTCTCTATCACTCATCTTCAAGTATCATGATGACTATTCTCAATCAAACATTAACTAGCGCGAATGAGAAACGGTTCCACGTCATTGGCAACAGGGGTAGCAGCTTCAATATCCACCGGTGTGATAACAGCCTTAAGAATGGCTGTGGTATCAGGAATCTGTAAAAAAAAAGACACAACCTCAATTAAAGTCCATTCGCACCCAATAGATGTCACCGAAAAATAAATAACTACCTCATCGTTGTCATCAACCTCAACTTCTTGCAAGACGTCGTCCAGTACGGAAACGAAATGATCAGCATTCTCAATAGTAAACACCATAGGCGGTTTCAGCTTCAAAATGTTATTATCAGGTCCATCGCTGCTGACGAGAATCTTCTCCTCCTTCATTCGCGACACAACATGCTTTGCTTCGGCTGTAGCCGGGACTCTCTTTGTTCGATCCCGTACTAATTCGATTCCAACGAATAGCCCAGCACCACGTACGTCGCCAATGATGGGATGATTTTTGGCGAGTTTCTCCAATTGGGATATTAAATGATTTCCAACGTTTAAGGCATGCTCCTGGAGTCCTTCGCGCTCGATAACCTCCATGACTGCATTCGCCACTGCACAAGATACTGGATTTCCACCATACTGAAAGAAAAGGATAAACTTTGATTTCGTTCCGTTGCAAAATATTCGTCGGACAACTTTTTATCAATTTCCCAATGCATTCGAGCGTGTTCGAAATCTCCATTGAGATTCTCCGACTGCTGTACAGCTTGATTTAATTCCGCCGATATGGCCAGAGTGAAACGTTCTATGTATATCGAAGAATAGGGAGTTTATGAGTTAGCCGTATAATATAAAAATCCCATATCTTTCGTACGCGCTCGAGTAGTTCCTCCTGTACCGTAATCCCACATATCCATCGGAAACGCCATAGCCTTGTAAAACGCTAAAACGAGAACGTGTTTCTTGTGGAAAAATAAGAAACGGAACACTGCTTTCTTGTCTGGGATAGTCATGCCTTACGTGCCAGTTGCTAAAGTAAATAGATAAATGTTTTTCCTACGAACTTTTGTAATTTATCGAGGCACGTGTATTCTTAATCTGTCAATATAAATGATATGATATAATTACATACATAAGTTATCAAGAGAAAATATTATCATTTGAAAAATGCAGGTTACGCGTGGAATGTGAATACAATTCATTTTTGTATGATGTATCATGTCAGCTGCGTCAGTAAAGGTCAAACACGACACGTGGTATTCGAGTGAAAAATGGAGAAAAAAATATAGGTAGACAGAAAAATTGGACAAATCCCGAGTAAAAATGCCTGTCTCGAAAAAGCTTGTCGATCTCATGTGAAATCGTCGGAAATCAGGGAAAGCATGGAAAATCGAAATTGACTTTTGACAAATGGCGTCTGATGGAGGTGGAACAAATATTTTTTCCTCAATTTCGCCGGGAAACAAATGCTTAAAAAATCTATGCAGAGCGCCATAAATATCACGGGTTGGTGTGCGCGCATAGATAAAATTGATTAGCTATATGTATACTGGTGACTAGGGGGAGGAGTGATGGGTGGCTGGGTGGATCGATGTCGGTTAAACAGCGATAAATGCAATGATCAGATAGTCGGCCCGTAAATAAAGTTCGCATGCATAATGCATGTGCCATACAATGCACTTGTATTACTCAACGCTTCGTATGAGATACCGCACGCATATGTGTTCTAGATATATTCAAATACATAAACGGGTTGATAGCACATTTAGAAAATTCTGAGAAGGTATCGCGGAAATTACGATGCAGGTGAAAATAGGTTCGTGATTCCAACAGTGAAAAAAACTTTTATTATTTCCTCTCGAAAAGGCTTACCGTATTAAAATATTCGATTCCAGTATTTCGGAAGCTACCAGCGATTTCTTCGGTAGTGATCACAGCTGCTACGGGATGTCCATTTCCCATCGGTTTTCCAATTGTCACTATATCGGGGATAACGTCATATAACTGGAAAGCCCACATATGACTACCCACTCTTCCAAAACCGACTTGCACCTCGTCGGCAATACAGACACCGCCAGCATCTCGTACGTGTCTGAATATACAATTTTTAAAAATTTTTATTTTATTACAAAAAAGATTATTTAATACTTTTCCACTCACTTGTACACGTTTTTGTAATAATCTTGAGGTGGTAAAATCTGTCCACCTACGGACATAAGGCTCTCTGCGATATACGCACAAACTCCACGTCCCTCTGCTGTGACATCGTTGCAAATTTTCTTTACGTCATCGGCGTACTTTACTCCGAGATTCTCACTGGGATAGTCCACGTCGCGATACTTTCCCCGATAAACATCTGGACAGGGAGCCTGCAGACAAAAAACAGATACGAGTGCTTTTGGAATTCTCAAGATTATTAAATCTAAAGTGATATACTTTACTGTACGTATCTGACGATTTGATAAATAAGAAATGTATATATGATAAATATGCTTACCACATGAACCCAATCCTTCTTTCCAGTGCCATTGGGCTGATTGAACTTGAACGGCGAGATATCAATCATTGACGTCAGATGTCCATGATAGGCGCTATAATCAAAATAGTTATCATTACCGTATCTTTTTAACAGATTATTTAATTGCCTTACAGATACATATATGTTTATATGCTATCACACGTCCACAGATCAAATCTAAGAATAAAGGTCAACGTCAAATTTTATCTTATGCCTGAAATATTTTCAACTGCGACGTATCAACCACTTAACCAGCAATTAACGTCTCACAGGCAATTGCAATTATTTTGCATTTTTGAAAAACGTACGCAAACCGTTAACCTTTGTTCTAAACATACTTTGTACCGAGACACTTTTGACCCGTGCAAATGCTGATTTAAATTCCAGGTTAAGTGGTACGTCGCAGAACGACACCGCTATGAAAAAAAAAAAAAAAAAAAAAAAAAAAAAAAAAAAAAAAAAAACCCAAA